GACGACGGCCTGCTGCGCTGCGGCGTGTGCGGCGCGCGATTCGACGCGGCGGCCGAGATGCGATCGCACCGGCGCCGCCACAAGGACGTGTTCCCGTTCGAGTGCGACGAGTGCGGGCGCTGCTTCATGCACGGCAGCCACCTCGACACTCACGTCGCGTCGCACGGTGGCGCCCTCGCGGCCGCCGCCACGCCGCCGATCATGTGCGAGGCGTGCGCGCGATTCTTCTACGATCGCACCGACTACGAGAACCACGTGTGCGCCTCCACGACCGTGCTGCCATCTACGACTACAGTGCTGCCATCTACGCCGACCGTGCTGCCGTCTACGCCGACCGTGCTGCCGTCTACGACTACAGTGCTGCCGCCTACGTCGATCGTGCTGCTGCCTGCGTCGACCGTGCTGCCCTCTACGTTGGACGTCGCGGCCGTCGAGCCGTCGCCGGCTACGGTGCTGCCGCCTGCGGGCGAGGAGCCGCAGCGCGTAGTTGTGGAGAGACTGGGGGAGGCGATGGGAGGTATCCACGCTGGAGCCGCCGCTGCCCAGCTCCCCCTGGGGAGAGGACTGCCGGGAGCTCCCGCCGTCGTGTTCCCGTCGTCGCCGGCAACCACCTTCACCAAGGTCGTCACTCCAACTGGCCTGAAGAGCGTGACGGCCGCGGCGACGAAGACGCTCCAGCAGGGGGCGCCGCCGCGCGGACGGAAGCCGAAGGCCGTGACGCTCGCCCCGAAGCCTGTGCAGCCGCTGTTGCTAACGGCGACGGGAGGCAGGAAACCGGTCGCGATGGTCACCGGCAAGCTGTCGCAAGGGGGCGCCACCGCCGCGACGGGAGCGCACGCCGTAGCGCTGCCCGTGAGAGGAGCGCTGAATCAGCAGTCGCCACAGCTGCTTACGAGTCTCGCGCAGCCCCTTACGGGTCTCATCATGCAGCAGCAAGTGCAGCAGCAGCCCCTTACGGGTCTCGTGCAGCAGCAGCAGCCACCCCTTACGGGTCTCATGGACGAGGCGGCGGCGGCGTCGCTGGCGCGGCACGATGGCGCCACGGTGCCGGTGCTGCAGCGCGGCGCGTCGCGTGTCATCTACTTGGAGCAGGAGGGAGGCGACCCGATACTGCTCGAACTGCCCGCCGAGATATCCGACACTGACCAGATCTACATCACCATCGACCCCATGCCCGGCCAGTAGGGGGCGCCTCTCAGAGCGTCGCTTTTAGAAATTTCTGCGGGTGTGCTCGTTAGGGGGCGCTTCAGTGCGTGTCGCGACGCGGCGTGTGTGCTCGTTAGGGGGCGCTTCGGTGCGTGTCGCGACGCGGCGGGTGTGCTCATTAGGTGGCGCTTCGGTGCGTGTTGTGACGCGGCGGGTGTGCTCGTTAGGGGGCGCTTCAGTGCGTGTCGCGACGCGGCGGGTGTGCTCGTTAGGGGGCGCTTCAGTGCGTGTCGCGACGCAGTTCGGGCCGGCGCCGGCGGTGGCGCCCCCTGCAGAGCGGCGTTCGCTGCGCGCGAGCACGGACGAGTTGTCGGCGGCGGCAAACGTCGTGCGAACGTCGGAGCGCAAGCGCAAGCCGACGTGGAAGACGAGCGAATCTTCGCCGGCCGCCGACGATGACCCGGACTTCCGCCCCGGCGACTCCGAGTTCATCCCCGGCA